TGTAGTGAGGCAGGTGTTGGTCTCTTCTCCCAAGTAACTAGCGATAGGACGAGAGGCAATGGCCTCAAGTTGCATGAGGGGAGGTTTAGATTAGATATTAGGAAAAAATTCTTGGCTGAAAGAGTGGTCACGCATTGGAACAGGCTGCCCAGGAAAGTGGTGGAGACCCCATCCCTGGAGGTGTTCAGAAAAGGTGTAGATACAGCACTTTGGGACATAGTTTAGTAGGTATGGTGGTGTTGGGTTGATGCTTGGACTTGATGATCTTAGAGGCCTTTTCCAACCTTAATAGTTCTATGATTCTGTGAATGTAATCTGAGACAAATAGCTCATTCTCTTGAAGCCTGGGCAAATGCTGTAACAAGTGATTTAAAAGATCGTCTCCAGCAGCCATGTTTTGTGGACAGTCTATTTTAGCAGCTGATTTGCGAGAACATCTAATGCCACTAGCTCAATGACTAGAGTATTATTATTGGAAGCAGAAGGCATCAGTTCAGGCCCCTTTAAGGCAGAGGAGAGGACTCCGACTCTGCTTTCCACATCCTGGATGAGTCTTCCATCTTGAATAAGAGGGATGGGGCTGCTCTTGCACCCACAGCAGGACTCCTGGTGCCTAGCAGCTGGAAAGAATGAGGTGTGGAAAGTATTCTCCTTATTCTTTGCTTCTGGTTATTTTCTAATCAATATTTTATATTATTTATACTTCCCTTCTGAGTGTGGTAAGTTTTGTGGATGCAGTGTTTAAGAGGACAGCTATCACAGTGTGTTCTTCTGGGGCCAAGGTAGTGCACACAAGTGTTCTCAGCCCAGCTAGGCCATTCGGGGTGTAAAAATCAGACACAGCAACACCCAGCACTGCAGTGTCTCAAGACCCCATTGAGGTTAGTGCTGGAGTCCACATAAAGTCTCTCAGTTCCCCATCCCAAATTCCACCCATCACGCTGCCTTACTGTCCACAGCAAGAAATAGCTTTCTTAATTACCTCAGCTGCTGGAGAGTAAGCACAGTGTCACAAGAAATGCTACCGTGCCTGGAGTGCAACTTCTCAAAGGGGCTTTCCTACCAGCGAGGTACCATGCTCAGGAGAAGGCGATGAGCTGACAGAAATATTTCACATGTAGTGGAGCAAAATAAAATGCCAGATGCCAGAGGTCAGAATGGACAATTGATCTGGCACCTGTTGGGGTGAGCACATCAGGGCACGAGGGCCGGTTAATTAGCCTGGTTTTCATTTATGAGTCGCTTCTGACACGTATTAGGCATCCACTACTTACCACTGCCGAGGCAACACGACAGATTTTGATTGGGTTTCCGCGCCCAGAGAGCTCCAGTTCTGCCTTGTCCATCAGGAACAGGCAAGCATCCAGAATGTTTTCTTCAAACTAGGTAAAAGAAAATAAAAAGCGAAACAGAGGGAAAATTAAGTCACTTTTTATTCTAGAAAACAAAGACAAGGTTCTTTTTCATTGTTGTTACAATAGCTGTTCCGCTTCAAAATTAGCTGGTCAACTCAAAATTCTCTGTTTAAAAATACAAGTTTTCTTCTAGAATAATCACCCATGTATGGCAAATAAATGTGAGAGGCTGTGAGGAAGAGAGAGTCATTTTCAATTCAATCTCGGTCCAGTTTCTAGAAGGTTGAAATGACAACACAGCCCTTCTGACAGGGCATAAAATTTTAAGTGCTAACAAGTATATAATAGGAAGATATTGTAATAATAACTACAAGAATCTAGTCTGCTCATGAAGGACTTCATGTCCTTCACAGATTCCAGACCTGTTAATTTCAGGACTTCTCTGACATAGCCAATGCAATGCTGGGAATTTGAACAATAAGTGGTTTGCCAAAGTTAATTTGAAGATGCTTACGTTTTAAAATTAATTTTTAAATCTGTTTAAAATTGACAAGCCAAAAGCTGATGATGTAGATTAATCCTGGTCTATAAAACTTAGCCATCAAAAATACCAAGTGACCTAAAGTAGTCTTCTTCAAAAACAGAGTGAAAAGGTACAGTTTCTTCGATCCAGCATGAACAAGCACAAGAATGAATTGAGGGCAGAGGTGCCTAAATAGACCAGAAACCATTTGTCACAGAACTTGCCCTGCAATGTATTTCATTTTCCTTAGGAGAAACTGCACAGCGAAGGAAAGTACCTCTGTCCCCTAGAAAATGGTAGGAGACAGGGAAACACACAGTAACAAAACAAGTATCTCCTCAATACAGAATCTCATACTGACATGCAAGGCTGTGACAGAAACTCCATGGAGCTGATCCCCTTGTCGTGTTAGGTTTTATGTTCTACATTTGCATCCTTAAAGATATGATTCACGCTTGCAGGATTTTTGCTCCCATGCTGCTACTAGAGCTGGATTGATTTTACCACCGTCTCCAGCCTGGCTTAGGGCTCCTTGGCAGAGAAGGGAGGTCTGACTTTTGCCTCCTGAAGAAAGCGAGCAAGAGCCCAGACCAAGCTGCTGCTTTGGCAGCCCAGGGAGAGGCAGAGGAGAAGGAAGAATGAGGCCAGAGAGCTGAAAACGAAGCTCCAAAGAGTCCAGACTGCTGCTGGCGCTGCAGAAAAGGTGGGAAGAAGGGGAGTGACCACCCAGGCAGCAGCCGAGCTCTGGCATAAGCCGAGAAACCCGAGTCAACACCTTCTTTCACCACCCTCAGCCATTTCCTGGCCAAGGAAAGTCCTTTTCTTTGCCTCTGCCTCGAGCCTGCCTGGCTCTCATTGCTGAGGGTACCACTGCTGTACGGATCCTTTTCGGCAAACATCCTCCAAGGCAGCACACCTCTCTTGTTATCACCCACACTTGCACTGACTTGCTTTCTCTGGAACAGACGTTTACTCATGAGTAACACTTTATAGTCTGAGCAAAGCCGAATTCATGGTGTCTGGGCAAATACGGACAGAGGGATCAGTGTTTCCCAGGGACCTGCTCCTAATGTTGTATCATCCCTGGGAAGGCGGATAATTGCACGGCAGTCTCTCCCTCCAGTCCACTCCGCTGGTGTGTGATGTGAATCCTCTCGGGTGAGCGACCTTCCTTCCCAAGGAGCACCCTCACAACAGCTAATGTAAACTCTAGGACCTCATAGCCATCCTTCCTGCTTCATGTTCACTTTTCTTCTGGTCTGGCCCAATGATTTGTCACTTCCATCCGCTTTCTGCACTTCAAGTCATCAGCAGAGCCTAAGATCTGAGTTAAATCAATGAGAAGTTTACCCTGCAAATTAAATCTTTCTCATCTACAGTTTATGAGATGCTGTCAGTCTTGCCAGCGCATACAGAAAGAATAAAGAGGAAAGAAATTGCTATCAGCGTTGTTGCCTTCCACCTTAGCATTTACAAAATGACATAAACGCTTCTGAAGTAACTGGATTAACGGTAGAAGAGACAGGACAAGCTGTAAAGTCTAGCTGCAGGACACTGTGGCAGTAGTGTAGGATGCAGAGTAGCCTTAACTCTAAAGCCAATTTTGCCTTTCTTCACTATCCAGGCATTTAGAAACGTTAAACCAAACTAAATCAGTTTCCTGCTCTCACTCTTGGCATGAAGATGCTCTCTAGAGCACACAGACGTGCCTTGTGTCAGAGCAACGCGTTTGGGCTGGCCTTCAGCGGCCGTCCTCTGTCACGCTAACCTGTGTCTAACCTTCCATTTAAATCAGAGTAAGAGGGGCCGTTTCACCTTTCGCACTGGTTGAATCGGGGCTGCGTTTCTCACAGTCAGCTGCAGGCAGGTCGGATCTCACGTTGCCTACGGTCTGATCTGACCAAACGCACGGGCCCTAAAATTACATTTGCACAGCGGGCTGCAGAGCTAACACAGCTCAGTGTGTGGACATGAGGCAACTCATGATGGCAACAAGAATTCTATCCCCACCTGTTCTATTTTATTTTTTTCACAAAAAACAATGTTAAATGATCAATATAGCATCTGACTTCTGATACTTCTCAGCTAGAAAATTCCTGTGTGCCTAGATTTCTTCCAAAGCCGTATTTCCACAGAGTCCCCTGTGGGCTTTTCTGAGTGACTAGCTATTTGTGCTTTCTTACAAGAAAAGAATCACAGTCATGTTACAAGAAACACCTCCATCCTCAGTCATTACAGCCCTGTTTCAAGTGGTCCGTTGTTTTTTCTTCCTCAATCCATTTTTCTTGCCTTTCCTCCTCACGTTGATGCTGCTCATTAAAGACAGCAGCTGTGAGAATCATCTCCCACTAGTAACCCAGTTTTGAACTGTATGTTCCTTTTTAATTTACAACCTGAGTTAAAGCTTCCAGCTGCCAATTGTCAAAGCAATTTTTCAGCCTAAGAATATTACCATGCACAAGTCTACCTGTATTTCTCTGTATGACCATATACCCTTCACCTCGGTGACTGTATGCGGCCTCATGCTTTTTACTTACACCGTTGTACAGGGCTATATATCATAAATACAGAATGCATACTTGTATGATATATCTATAATATCGGCCTTGCTGCTAGTACTTTTGCTCACTCACAGCAATGCTCTTGTTCTTAATAGCCAGGATTGCTGAAAACAAGGGAGACGTATGTTTTTTGTGGTTGGAAATTGTCAGGGTAAGACCAAGAACATCACGACCTCCATCTTGCTGAGAGTGGAGGAACCAGAAGAGTATTTGCTCTGCAGTTTGAGATGTCTGTTACAGCCACACAAAATGATCGATTCCTTTAAAACTCTTGGCTTGGGCCCCCTGAGATGCATCTGCCACATTCAGCTTTCACAGGGGCAAGTGATAGCAAAAGGTGCACCCCAGCACTGCGTGGAAACCAGGTCCTTCAGTTTCAGACAACACAGGAAGGAAAGTACAAAGGACTCTGGAACAGCCCCAACCTCCCAGATAGAGCTATCTCCTAGCAAAACCAAATAAACCACGCAGTTTCTCAAGGGAGGCTGGGGTTTGTGTCAGGAAGGTGCCAGATTTGCAGAATATAAGCACCTCAGGCCAAGCCACCATGGGCCATGAATTCAGCATCTTAGGACATAAATCCAGCAGCTGGTTTAAGCAGCACCTTCCACCTCCAGCCCCTCATTCCTCTCTCTCCCTCCCCCTTACATCTGTCATGGAGCGAATCCAAATCTTGGAACAAAGCAAGCTCCAAAATTAACCCAGACGGAAAAAAAAAAAAATAATGGAGAAGATGCTTATTCAGCTAGAGGAGGTCTCCAGGTGGACCCACTGCACGGCTGCGTGGGCCCTTGCAGGGGGAAGGAAGGGCCAGGAGGGGCATTTTCGGTCAACTTCAATGCAGACCCAGCTTTGGCCTCTGGACCTGGTTCCACGTCGCTTGTGTCGGAGGCACCATCAGCTTGTGGAATTCCTCCCCCTCCACGTCGTTTAAGGGTTATTTTTGTCTCCATCAGGATGACAGTCAGACCCCGCAAACACCGGCACTGACACAACCAAAGGAATGGTGCAGAGGCAGCAACTCCCTAAGGCAGTGCTGCTGCAGGAAAATAGATGAAATCGTACCCTTAAATCAGGAAACAAGAGAGATGGGAGTTCAAAGAGCTCTCCAGGGCAAGCACACGGGAAATCCATCCAGCTCAAGCTCTGAGATTGTCTTCAGCTGAGGGAAAGCAAGCAGAGCAAGAAGGCCCCCTCTGCAAGGAGGTGCTGGGGAGGTGCCGTGAAAACGGAATGGATCCGTCAGCATAGGAAATTAAGGAAATTTAGAAATTAAGGAAATTTAAGATCCGTCATTAAGGAAATACTTCACCGCTTTCTTAATTGCGCTGTTGTGAAAATCCAGGAGGTGAGATGAGCAGAGTTCCCCACGTCCAATAATTGTCCCCTGGAGCCCCTCTGAGTGCCAGCTGGGGTTAGTTTTTGATTCTGCTTGTCAACGCCATTTCCCCGTTCTCACGCCACCTCCCGCAGGGATTTTCAGCCTGGTTAGTGCTTCCAAAGGGACTGAGGTAAAGCGGGCGAGCGATAATTCTGATGTTGTTGAAGGCACACCAGGACCTCAGACCAGCCTGGCGGGGGGTGTTTCCCCAGGCTGCAAGAGGCCACTGGAGACGGATGTTGTCGAGCACAGGGAGAGGTTCCCCTCTTTGGTGAGGCAATTTAAAACTTCAGGATTATATCACAGTTTGTCACAGGAACCCTGTGACAAGCTGACCCCCAAGAAGATCAGAATTATTTCCACCAAGCTGCTAAAAATAAAATGAAGACCTATTGCTGGAAAATGAAAAAAAAAACCCCAACTTTTTACTCTTTCACCAAATCAGTTTGATTCTGAGTTTGATTCTGAAGCAGCAACAACGTAACAGCAGAAATAGTGCTGCAGTGTGGAAACCTCAGTTAATGATTACAACTTTGAACAGGCAGCCTCTTGGTATCTGAAATATGCCCCTAAAACAAGATCGTTAAGTATAGCTACTATAACATCGCGTTTCTGGATTAGGCATGCACCCACTTCACATAATTTTAAGATTACACCCCTTGTCTTTCTGAAGGAGAGACCAATAACGCACTCCAGAGCCCACAGTCTCAGCCACAGCCTGGTGTCAATTAAACTCTCTCTTTGTCCTCCTGGGAGCAGGCAGAGAAGGTCTAAATAGCTCACCTGACCGTAACTCCAGCTTCTTAATTTTATGTCATTGATGTTCCCATGGAAAACAATCCCAACATCATTCAGGACGTATTCTTCCCTTTCCTTCTCGTCGTCCAGATACACGGCATCCTCTGCATCAGTTTACCGAAAATAAATGTTAACACAGTCGTTTGGTTTCCATACAGGACAGATAAAAAAATCTTAGCATATAATACAGTCATCTTTGATGAACAGTACCTCTCTTCCATCAAACAAAGCATTACTTGCTTCAACGGACTATAAAAATAAGGAGGTGGTGACCCCAGTTAGGAATATGATACAGAACTCAAAAACATGCAAGATGCAAAAATGCTGACGAGTCCTGCCTGTTTTCTCAGGATCTGTAAACTATGATTAAAATGTCACGTCTTATCAATAATTTTGTGACTACTGTGTACCACTAATTTAAAAGTTGGAGCGCCGTGACACAATTCTGCGTCCATATAAACAGATCAAAGAACAATTTCAAACCTATCAAAGTTAATGGAAAACGGCTCCAGTCAAGAGATGCAAAGAAAAATCTGTAGTGCATTAAAAAAAGTAGAATACAGTTTTTATAGTGTATTAACAGAAGGGTTTGATTGCTTTTTCTCCGTGTAAGTTATTGACTGGAGCATCCCTCCCCCACGTAGTTTGACTGACCGGCTAATACGAGGAGAAATGGAAGTGTCCGAGTGAAAACTGGCAGCGTTGGAAGAGACCTTTATCAAAACATATACAAAGGGTATACCCTAGACTGGTCTTATATCAAGAGTCTAACGCATATGCACGGACCCTCACCCTGCAAACACGATTCACGTACATAAATAACCCATTATTAACCTTCATAAATAACCCTGAATGACATGAAACTATTCAGATGTTCACAGCCTAAGTACGGGGCAGGTGGTGATTCTGTGACACTACAATAGTTGAGACTTTCTTTCCTGAGCCAATGCTTCTGTTTTGAGACTAAGGGACACAGCCTAAGAATTAATATTATGGGAATTAGTTAATTTGAGGAAATCAGTAGTGTGGTACCAAATAACAATTTAAAGGGAAGCAGTAACATCTGATAGTTTGATACAGGCCAGTACAAAACTACCACCCACTACTGCCATAGCGGGTTTCTTAAGCATCCCACTACAAATTACTGGAGGATCATTTCACTTTTAAAAGCCTATTGATTTCTTGTTTTTTGTTGAAAAGCAAATCAGATTGGTACTTACTTGTAAACCTCATCCTCAAAAGCTTCTTCATTTGCCCATAAACCTGCAATTTGGCTGAAAATAAACTAAAATCTGAGCCCTCTGAAAAAGAATCAATGGCAAAACTCACAGTGGCTTCAGCCAGATGAAGGGTTTTGCCAGTCTACACACCGGAGCCTGCTGGAAGTTTTGTTTTCTCTGAAGATGCGTTTATATCTCTATGTCACATACACACATACAGGAGGGATTCTGCATAGATATGTAACATACTGACGTCCACATTGGTGTGCAAGGAATGGTGGGGAAGCAGGTGTTAGGTGTAAGCAGCCTTTATTGAATTTGAGGAGATCGGTGCTTGCCGTTAGACTTCCGACAGGATTGCTGACCAGGCTCTGCAGACCGCGTCCGAATCCCGGCAGACAGAGAAGCGGCAGGTTTGATCGGGTTTTCCCCAAGGTGGGCAGCTCAGAGACCTACGCCTGCCTTTGGCGGGGTGGTGGCATTCACCTGGCTCCTAAGGGCTGGCCATCAGGAAGCTTCTTGATAGGCTTGTCACTACCCATGACCTAGTCAACCTGCCCCCAGGCACAAAGCAGAAGATCATGGGCTTCTTCTATTCAGAGGCTACCAAGTAAAAGAGAGCATTAAAACGTGAAAATGAATCAAAAAACTGCAGTCATGCATGCCAGTAGGCACTCTCATACTTATGAAACTGTAAATTACATGACTTTTTTGAGGTCCAGCTCCCAGCTCTGAACAAGTTCTGCATAATGTCCCACTAAAAATGTTGCAGATGTTATGGATCATCTAGGCTCTGTTTCTTTAGGCTGGATCTGCCTGATTTGCTCATTGAAAAATTATATGCATTCTCTCACTGAGCTCTTGATTTTATTAAAGCACATCCATACAAATAGTACAGAGAATGCATTTAAAGGAGAGCTCACACCTTCTTCTGTACGGTGGCACGTTGAGTGGAGTCTGTGCATATGCCTTCTTGACAGCTGTTGTTTTCGTTCAGGGATTAAAAATATCAATATTGATCTGGTTGGTATCAATTGAGATGCTTATGTTATTTTGAGACTGCGTGATCTTTGCTAAATCAGATGAAAATTGATTAACTTCTCTGTCAATTATTTTAAAATATTTGTGTTTTTTGATGAAGTAAAAAGGGCTTCTGTGTTTCACAGAGAAGCCAGCTGCTTTGATTTTTGACAGCTTTCGCTACCCTTGAGACTGTTTAGAAGAAAATACGAGGCATTTGTGACTACTTTGATGCCAAGCGTGCTCTACATAGTACAACTCCTAATTATTTTGTGCAAGTGGAGGCTCACATCTGACAAACAGAAGAATTCCACGGAAGTGTGCTGGATTTGTTTGTTCTTTTTCTCTAGCAGTTTAGGAATTTTTTTTTTTTCAGTCACTTCTTTTATCCTGGGAAATTACTGAGACACTAGCAAAGCTACAAAGAAGCAAATTAGCCTCTATGCTTCTCTGTTTGAGGAAGGATAAGGTGAAAACACCCATCACGGGAAGACAGTACCGCAGGCCTGAACACAGGCTCCTTGTGAACGAGACGAGGAGCGCAGAGCGGCCCTTTCAACTCGGGAAGGGGAACGAGCGTGAGAGGACCCTACCCAGCCTCCCTTCAGCGAGCTCCCGTGGGAATCCCGGGCTGCGAGGCTGGGCCTTGCTGGAGCTACAAAACTCCTGGGGTGCTGGCTGGGAAGGGGACGGCGCTGCGGCAGGCACGGAGCTGAACGTGGTTATCTACAAAGCCCACTCCCCCCGGACCAAGATCAGTCTGCTGCCTTGCAACTGCCTGTGCTTGCCTACGCTGACGCAGCAGGAGGATGATGCTCTGTGTGAATTCTACCCGCGTGGAATCTATGATATAAGAGACCAAATATAAGATTTAGCTATAAACGCAAGAAAATGTTATTGGGCCAAATTTGGGTGACAAACGCGTGAGAGGAGTCCAAAGTCAACCACGTTACTAGTCCTCAAACTGTACTAGGAAATTTAAGCAGAAGAAGTGTGCAACTGACTCAATAAAGTTGCAATATATTTCATTGCATAAATATAATGCACTTTGCAGGAGGCTTGGGTGAAGGAAACGCACACCTCAGCTCACAGGGTCTGCAGCTCGCTCAGGTACTCTATGCTTCTCCACCCGTGAGAGAGCCACGCAAGTCAACGCAAGGTCTTTTCCTGACAAGCGCTGGATGTTCCCCAGCAGAAAGCTGCTGGGACTCAGCACCTCCTCGGAAAGAGCTCACAGTATCCAGATCAAAGGAGCCCTTCTCTGCTTTCATGTAGTCTGATACTGCCAAGAGTTAGACTAAACTCCAAGAAGTTGTCCTTAACTACTTGCCATTTGTGTCTTCTGTTTCAGAACTGAAGAGGGCTCTGCATGCCCATAAGCACATCTGTCTTCCCCAGCTACGTCAGCTGGCTGAGAAAAGGAAGCTGCCCCTCTCCACAGGCTTCACCTTGCTCATTAAGTCATGCAGGTTTTACCCAAGTATCTAAAACGTCAATCCACTAGCTTGCTGTATTCCCAGATGTTTGGGGCTGGTATATATCATTTCGCAGGATCAGGTCCTGCATGTGCATCTTTAAAGTATTATTAATGATCAGCCTTAAATGCAGCTAAGGAGATTAAAACATATTAAAGTGTCTGATGATTTTTAGAAGCAAAGCACTCTGTAGCTTGACTGGTATTCACACTTGTTCTGAAATAGCAGAAAAAATCCCTCATTGCTGGCTGGGAAGATATGTCAAAACTGAACTACAACGAGAAAAGGAGTAATAAGAAAGAGCACAAATGCCTCTGTCTTAAAGAAAAGCCCATACCGACACGTTGATGTTTCTCCAAAATGATGAGTTGGAAAGCTGCGCTAGACGCTGACAGAGCCCAAGCTCTGCTCCCTGCTATAACAACCCCCTTTCACACCTGGCACCAGCCCTCTCTCTTTTTAATGAGGCCTTTCACTCAGACTTTTCTGCTTAGCTATTAACCCAGCAAACAAATCTAGGATTTTTTCAAACTATTGTTTTTTTTTTTGCACTTTAACTGCCTGAGTTTTTATACCCTTTTGTCATTCTGCTGAACAATCTTTTCCAGCCAGGGGATAAAGCGGAGAAACAGTCCTTGGGTTTCTAACGCAAGGAAAGGGGAAAAAGCACATAAAGGAGCCAATTAGCCCAAACTACCTAGGAGTAAAAGTAGGGGCAAGGAATGAGAATAAATCCAAAGCCAAAGCCAAATGAAACATGCAGAAACCAAAATCTACAGTAGCCACCGAGGGACAGGACACGAAGTCATTGAGACACACCAGAACACAGAAGCGGGAGATGAAAACGCGGTGCTCCAGGGGTGACCCCGAGCTGCTCCCCGGGGCCTGGGGGCACGCAGCACACCCCTGCTACCCGGAGACTCCCTTCTGCATTCCTGAAGCAGAGGTTTTCAGTTGGCCTCGCTGCTGGAGGCAGCTGCTGCATGTCTTGCTCCCCGCAGGTTCGCTCCCGTGCTGTGGGTTTAATCTTGCTGGCTTTTGGCCCCACTCAGCATCAAGAAGAGTGTGGCCAGTAGGACGAGGGAGGTTCTCCTTCCCCTCTACACTGCCCTGGTGAGGCCTCATCTGGAGTACTGTGCCCAGTTCTGGGCTCCCCAGTTCAAGAAAGATGAAGAGCTACTGGAGAGAGTCCAGCGGAGGGCTACGAGGATGAGGAGGGGACTGGAGCATCTCTCCTAGGAGGAGAGGTTGAGGGAACTGGGCTTGTTCAGCCTGAAGAAGAGAAGGCTGAGAGGGGACCTTATAAATGCCTACAAATATCTG